AGCTCTTCCAACGCCTGGGCAGCAGCGAGGAGGACTCATGCATGGCTTCACATGCTCAGGGCAGCTGTGCTACCCGAAGAGCCACAAGGATTCTGTGCCCAGCGCTGCCCACAAAGCCCGTGGGGTGCCAGCACCCCATTCCCAAAGCCAGGGTAGAGGCGAGCTGTCGGTGACCTCGCAGGGGGGCTGCCTGCATCGCTGCCCGCCTCGGCACAGCGGGGCAGAAGCGGGGATGTGAAGCAGAGCCGGGACGTGCGGGCTGCCTGCGTTCACACAGCCACGCCTGGCCAGGAACCTGTTACGAAAGAGCACGCGGGGACCCGCCTCAAACCTCTGGCACAACATCACAGGGATAGTAATTAATAATAATCATCATCCGAAACCCAATTAAAGCCGGCAAGCGAAGAGGGCAGCAGCGATAGAGTGGCACAGAGGAGTGATTAATAACGAGAGTCCGAGGTTTCAACATTTGTTTTTGTCCCGTGTGAGAAGACACCACCAGATCCCCATGGCTCGCAGGCAGGGAGCGGGCAGCAGGCAGGGCCAGCGCCCTGGTCCAGCGGCAGCTGCCCTGTTTTGGAGAGGAGGGCTGAGCTGCACAGACAGCTGTGCCCCATGGAGAGATGTCCCCAGCCCGTTCCCTTCCCCAGCGGTGACGCGGTGGCCCTGCAATGAGCAGGAGGAGGCTGGCACGCTCTGCCGGGCTCCTGCGCCCATGGCTGGATGGGTTCGGTGCGGAGCCGCCACGCAGTGCTCTCCAGCACCCTCGGGAGCGAGAGCTCAGCACCATGTGGGCTTTGCATCTCTCCTGCCTTGGAGATGGATCTACAGCTTGCTGGAAAGCTGCTGGCTCCTGCGTGGGCGGCAGCCATGGAGCAGCGGGGTCTCTCAGCCACCGCAGGGAAAATAGCGCCCATGGCTGGATGGGTTCGGTGCGGAGCCGCCACGCAGTGCTCTCCAGCACCCTCGGGAGCGAGAGCTCAGCACCATGTGGGCTTTGCATCTCTCCTGCCTTGGAGATGGATCTACAGCTTGCTGGAAAGCTGCTGGCTCCTGCGTGGGCGGCAGCCATGGAGCAGCGGGGTCTCTCAGCCACCGCAGGGAAAATAGCTCTGCCTTAGGAGTGGGGCTGCAGGGAGGGTGCCGCGGGCAGCGCGGGTCCCCCAGGGCACCTCCTTGCCCTGGGCCACGGAGGAAGGCTCAGCTCTGGCTGAGGGACTGCAGCTCCCAGCTCCCGCGGTAGCATCCAGCCCCTTCCCTGGCTGGACTGCTGCT